AGAAGAAGAGGGGGGGGGGGGGGGCACAACAATGTTTTACCTAGGTTTTAAGAAAGCAAAATTAGAGTTTCTAGGGAGTGGTCTTTATATATTATACATATTACATAATACAGTGATATGTCTATATTATATACTTCTCTAATGACCTGCTTTACTTCAAACTACATGGAAATCGGTGTGGGGGGGCGGGGTTGTGAGGGGGATGACACCAACAACGTCATTATCACAGCTTACCTATTACTGTCAGTCTTTACAAACCCATTTTCAGATGTCCTAAAACTTGACTTCAAATGGGTGGAAAAGGAGAAATGGAGAAGCAATGTGTCAAACTATTAGAAGCAAGATGCCCCTCCAGGCTGTCTTAGAGTGCCATTTCCCGGACCTTGCACAATGACAAAGCTGTCCACAGGAACCCTTGCCCGTAAGACTCACAGAGAACCTGGAGATGGCTGTGGTGAGAGGAACTCCATCAAGTTCCCATCTGCAGGAGGGCTCTGACCACCACCTCCTGGCAGTGTGCTGGCAGCAGGATTCTTCTTTTCCTTACAGCAGTTCTGATCAGCAACCTGTCAAACCAAGAATGGCTAAAATAAGGCCGAGATCTGAACAACTGCCAGCCATAATGTTAGGGTACCACTCTCCCAACACCCCTAAACCTGATGCAGCCCAGGATTAAGACATTTTTTGGGCACAGGGATACAGAAAGGGCAAGGGGACATAAGACTCCTGAACAGACCTGCAGAAAGCAGGTGGTAGGACAACTGAATAGCAGGAGGGTTTAAGGAGAGAAAAAAGAAGTCTACTGGGGGCCAAGCCAGACAGTACAGGTGAGGAAGAGGTTTTGGACCTCTAGTCCATGAATCCCACCAGGTAGGTACAGGAGCCCCTCTCACCCCCTTAGATAGCACTGACTCAAAAAGGCAGGTTTGCGAGGGCCTCCCCTCCTCTCCCTGGCCCCTAGGAAGAACTTCCATACCTTGTTCGTAACAAGAGTGTCACTGATTCCTGCAAGAAAGGAACAGATGCACAACAGTAACGCTACCTGATCAAGATGGAGACCGACACTATGCCCATCCCTTCTATGACATTTAGAAAGCCTACACAAACACCCAACTCACCCAAGGCCATTCAACTCATCCAGGACAAATCTGAGACCTCCTTGAACTACCAGGCACACTGGATCTCTCCAAAACAGGCATAAACTCCCTAAAGGAACCCAGCTGACTTCCCCTCTCCCTACTCAGGGCCACTCTGCCTGCCCTCCCAAAGACCCACTCTCACCTAAGGCTGCCAAGTCCTGATGAAGCAAAGATGATGCCACAGTTCCAGCCTGCTCAGATCCACTGTCCACCTCCAGGTCAATCAAGGGGCAGTTCTTCATGCAGCCTGTTGGATTCTGAAAGACTAGGAAATAGATGGGGTGTAGAAAATAAGTTAATTAGATATGAGAGCAATCTCCACTTAAATTCTATCAGTTTCCCTCTGTCTCCTCCTAGTCAAAACCCTCGACACTCCCCCAGAAAAACCTCCCACAGGCAGCCTGAGCTGGCATCTGGACTATAAGGTGGCCCTGGAGGATTGCATTCCTGCCCCAGAGATAGAAACCTCCCTCAAGGTGCCATCAACCTAGTTGGAACAGGGCTGGGGATCCTCTCCAGCTCAGAGCCTCTGGAGGTGTCCAACCACAGCTGATCAGAACCACCTACAGTGCTTGTTAAAACACAGAGGCCCAGGCACGAGCAGTCTCGATTCAGAAGACTGAGCTACAGACCTAAGGAGCTACACTTTGACCAGTGTTCTGGATGAGTCTTACACAGCTAGCATGGCACTAGGAGGCACTGAGGACCACTTCTTTGGTTGCTAGCTCCCATAAGCAAGCACTCATGGGAGAAATGCAAACTCAGGCACACCGCAGCTGCCTGCTGCCTGTGTGGCCAAAGCTGGGATCCAGACTGGCAGTCAGTTCATAACGGTTGCTCTGGCAATCTGGCTACATCAAACAGTTTTCATAGAAAAGAGAACAGAGGTTAAGTTCCCTCATGTTTAGGCCATAACCTAAAATGTTCTGAGGAGCTACTTCTTTCCTGGGATTTGCAGGCTGCCTTGAGGCAGAAAGCAGAGAGAGCTCTTTAGACATACCTCTGGAGACGGGTATGTCTCCCACCGAACTGGTCATTGGGTTCCCAAAGGTGACTCGGCCCTCCATCACCTGTTTGTATAGCAGAACTCCCTGGGTGAGGAGGTCATTTGCCTGAAGAATCTCCGCTAAAGAATGAGAGAAGAGTCAGAGCCACCTGGTTGACTACCAACAACCCCAGTCCTTTCTAAGCCAGTCCCCAAAGCAGCCTGCACGTGGCTCTCCAAGGTTCAGCATCCAAGCCTCTAGGTCATGTGATTAGGGCTCCATCAGACTAGCCCTAACAGTCTCTACTTGCAATATAGGAGGAAACATTTCTCCACCTTCTAGGTCTCAATGGTCCAAAATAATGGGCAGCAGTAAGCACTTAAAATATGGCTTCTTCACTGAAGAATGGAAACTCTTTTTTTTTTTTTTTTTTGAGAGAAAGAAAGGAAAAGAAGAGATTTTCAGTAAGGTCTCACCATGCCACAATCCTCCTGCCTGTCTCCCAGTTAGCTCGGATTACAGGAGTGCACCGTGCCCAGCGTATTCAGTTGGTCTAGAATCTGATGCTGGCCTTTTCACGTGGCACCAGTGCCCTACCACCTGTGCCCACTACTGCAAGATTATTCAGCCTTTCCTCAGCCTTCAGTGGTTGGTAGCATATTTCTTTTTCTCTCACACCTAACTCCATGCTAAATTTTCACCCCTTTCTAGGCTTTCAGACCTGCTGTTCATTTCCTGTTCAAGCATGGATGCTTCTGGAGGTCAGTTCTAAGCCAGCTCAGTTCATAGCCTCCCCAAGCCTGATCACCCCAGGCCCAAAAGCCCTTTCTGTCCCATTCCTGAAACCAAAGCACCACAACGGGAGGATAAGGTCTGCTTTGAACCTTGGGGTGCTAGCCACATCCAGGGAAATCAAACTCACCGAGTGCATCGTCATCATCGGTGGTATCACTTGCCAGCCGGAAAAGGGTGGGCCGCAGTTTTTCACACCTTTCATATACGACCTGGGGAAACAGAGCTTGGGTCATAGCATGCCCAAGACCCCAGGAGGAGAGTGGAGAAGGGCTCGTGTGGTCATCCCCGCTAGGGGATGATTTCTCACTTTTCCTCTCAGTGTCTCTCTCTCTCTCCAGTGAGCACATGTACCCTAAAGTGCAAACCTCTAAAAAAAAAAAAAGACAACATACCAGCCCTCCCTGACCTCTTCTCTCTGTTGTGGTTATTACTGTGAGTGAGGAAAAGTTGTGCTGTTTCAAAGCCCAACACACTGACCTTCCAGACAGCCTGTTGTAACTTCGCTATGGGAGGGCAGACTATGAAGGGTCTACCTGGATTGAGTCCAGCAACCTTCCAAGAACTGTCCCCTCCACCAGTTCAGGGGAAAGCCAGTGTGATTTTTCTCCCTAACTCTGTCCAATTCCTATCACAGCTGACCGAGCCAGGATAGATACATGAGTCAAGCTGGTCAAACAGACTTTTCTATGAGGAATTCTGAACTGGGAAAGATGCCAGTTTGTTTCTGCTAATCTTGTGAAATGCAAGGAGAGTAAATAAAGGAGTTATGTGAAGGCCATCTCTCTATGCAGAGAAATAGAAAGCTGGCATGCAGAGAAGACTGAAGTCAACTGGAGAGGAAGGAATAAAGTATAACCCAAAGAGAGACCAAGAGACCAGCTGCCTCAGACCACCACTGCTTGTCTGTAGCAGGTGGCGGTTTCTTCTGTATGATGACAGTAGTACAAGTGATGAAAAAGAAGGACTTCCCTGAAACTTCTAACTTTAGTGTTTCAAGAAATGGCATCAAAACAGTGAAGAGATAACCTACAGAATAGGAAAGAATGATCTGATAAAGAACTTATATCCAGAACTCTAACAAAAATATGACCAATTATAAAGGTGGCATGGTGGTTGAGGCGCTGGACTCCCACATGGCTGACAAGTTTGAGTCCCAGAACTGGCAGCTTGCTGCTTCTCTCTGGTCAATTTGAGGAATAATAATAAATAAGTAAAATTAAATGGATTCCTTTTTCTTTGTTTTTAAAGAGATTTTGCTATAGGGTGCATGTGCTTGCTAGAGAGACAGAGACAGAGACAGAAAGTGAGAAATCACCCCCTCAAGGGGGATGGCATGCTGTAATCCCTTCTCCATTGTCATTTTGGGCATGCACATACATACACCCAGTGTGAGTTTTAAGTCACTGGGTCCAGGACTCAAACCATGGTTGACTACGTGAGAATCCAGTAATATAACCATTGTACCATCTGCTGGTCCCATGAATAATTGTTAAAAAATATATATTAAGGGACCAGCAGTTAGTGTAATGGCTATGTCGCTGAACTCCCATGTAGTCGACCAGTTCAAGTCCTGGACTCATTAGCTTAAAACTCATGCCGGGTGTGTGTGCATGCATGCCTAAGATCCTGAGAGGAGAATGGAGGACAAAGGACTGCGGTGTGGCCATTCCCCCTGGGGGGTGATTTCTCGCTTTCTGTCTCTCTGTCTTTCTGGTGAGCGCACGCACCCTACAGCAAAAACCTCTTTCTCTCTCTCTCTCTCTCTCTCTCTCTCACACACACACACACACACACACACGTGTATATATTTACATATATATGTGTGTGTATATTTATATATTAAAAACATGGGCAATGAGGCCAACAGGTGGCATGGTGGTTAAGGTGTGGTATCTCACATGGCTGACTATGCAGTTCGAGTCTTAGTGTCTTGAAAAACATGCTGGGCACATATGTATGTGCCCAAAATCTTGAGAGGAGAATGGAGGAGAAGAGAGGGCCCCCATCCTCCTGCGGGGTGAGATTCATTCTCTCTCTCGCATTCTTTCTCTCTCTCTCTCTCTCGCACATTCTCCCCCATCAGCAAAGAGCTAAAAAAAAAATAATAAAGATGGCAAAAGATTTGAATATTCTCCAAAGATTTACAAGTGGTCAACAGCACAAGAAAAAAAATGCTTAACATTAGCCAGTAGAGAAATACAAAACCACAATGAGATACCGCTTGATACCCACTATGATGGCTATTCAAAAAGACAGACAATACCGAGTATTGCCCGGATGTGAATGGAAACATCAAAAGTTGCTGGTAGGATCATAAAACGGTGTAGCCACTTTGGAAAACAGCTGGACATTTCCTCAAAATATTAAATAGTTAAGGTAGTTATGACCCAGCAATTCCACTCCTAGGTATATACCCAAGAAAAATTAAAACTCATGTTCACACAAAAACTTATAAACAAGTGTCCAGAGGTGTTAACAAAAAAGCAAAAAGCAGAAATAGCCCAAATGCCCATCAGCCTAATGGGTAAACAAAATGTGGCATACCCACACAATGTAATGCTATTCAGCCATATGAAGGGATGAAGTACTGACACATGCTACCACATGGATAAATCTTAAAAATGCAAGGTGAAAGGAGCCAGACACAAAAGGTCTTCTGTTACAGGTTCCCACTTTCATGGAATGTCCAATTAGACAAATCTACAGAAACAGAAAGTAGAAGCCAGGCGTTGGGGGAAAGACGTATTACTGGGGGACCAGCAGATGGCATTAACGGTTATGTCACTAGATTCCCATGTAGTCGACTGTGGCTGGAGTCCTGGACCTGGCAGCGTAAGCCCACGCTGGGAACGTGTATATAAATGGGCAAAATCCTGAGAGGAGGATGGAAGAGAAGGAATTGCGATGCGGCCATCCGCCTGGGGTATGAGTTCTCATTTTCTGTCTGGAGTGCATGTGCCCTATAGCAAAAATCCCTCTTAAAAAAAAAAATAGTACTACTGGGACCAGCAAATGGCGTAATGGTTGCATTGTTGGACTCCCGTGTAATCCACTGCGGTTAGAGTCCTGAACATGGGTACTTAAAACTCACACAGGGTGCATGTGCATACATTCCCAAGTTGCCAAAGAGAATGGAAGAGAAGGGACTGTGGTGTCGTCATCCCCTCTGGGGGATAATTTCTCGCCTTCTGTCTGTCTCTGTCTCTCTGGCAAGTGCAAAAATCTCTCTGGGGAAGAAAAAATAAAAAGTATACTATTAATAGGTACAAGGTTTCTTTTGGGGGTGACTAAAATGTTCTAAAGTCAGATGGTAGTGATGGTTGCTTTTATGGTATACAAATTATCTCAATAAGGATGCTGTTAACAAAAAGAAAGATCTCAGGATATGTAAGATGTGGAGGGACTAGAACCATTATATACTGTGGTTAAGCATGAAAAATGTTGCAACCGTTATGGAAAATAGGCCAGGAGCTTAAACTAATTAGAATAGAAAACAAACCAGTGGTTGTTAGGAGATGGGGGACAGGGAAGCTAGGAAGAGAGGGCTGATAAAGGGACATGAGTGAATGTTAGGGCTTGATCGACTTGCTCATATCTTAACTGTGGAGATGGCTTCACGGATGCACACAGGTCAAAATGCATCGAACAGACCTAAACAAATATGTGCAGTTTCTACTGTGTTACACCCGTGATTACCTGCAGGGCCTCCTGGTCAGGCGGGGCCTGCCCTGGCCTGCGGTACATGCTCAGCATCTCCTGCAGCACCTTGACATGGCTCCGTACTTCCTCCACCGCACTGACTCTCTTTGACACTTTCTCAGATTTTTCTTGTTCCTTTTGAGAAGAGGAAGAGAATGAAGTGAGGGAGCGGAAGCCCAGGATGAAGACTGAACAAGGGACAGGAATGGGGCACTACCCTCCCAAGAGCCGGGGCACTACCCTCCCAAGAGCCCAAGGAAGTCACTCGAACACTAAGTGAAAGGGAGAGCTCACTGCACTGGTGAAGACAATGGTCAGACCTAGAGTTCCTGGAGGAAAAGATGCAGCATGGGGGTTGGAGACCTGCTCCAGTACACCACCAGCCTGAAGCCCTCTGAGAAACAATCCCAAACCTGGGCTTTGTCACACCCATACCTGCTGCCAGCACAGAAGCTGGGTCTACGAAACGTTAAGAGCACTACGAATCAAAGTGGCTGGCAAGTACAGTGGCAGGCTCTCTGCTTCTAGTTTCCCTCTTGCTGCCCTTTAGGGAGCTGCCTAGTTCAGGGCTAGGCCATCCCTCCTCCCTGCCAACTGTGCTCCCACCCTCAGCACACACACGTCCACGGTCCTTCAATCTTTGTCAAATGCTACCTCTGTAGGACCAACTAGAACAATGCCCACCTCCTTGACCAAATTCTTGATTAGCCGGTTTGCAGCCTGAAGATCCTCAGGGTGGTTGCTCTTCAGAAGCCGTGTGAGAAGCTGATGAGAGTCAATAAGAAGAGCAGGTGAAACACCAGCGCAGGATGGTAGCAGGAGCGACAGAACACTAACAACAGCGCACAGGTTTTATATGCACTATGTTACCAAACTGTCACAGGGACACTACGTGTATGTACTTCAACTATCCCAACAGACCTCTGGATTTCAACAGGGTAGGGGAGTAGAAAGATTATATCCCCCAGAGGGCATCAGGCAGTCTGGAGACACTTCTGGTTGTCACAACTTGGGAGGGGCTGCTGCTGGCATCCAGTGGGTTCAAGTTGAGAATGTTGTAAACATCCTATAGTTCATGGGACAGCCACCTACAACACAGAATGATCTGGCCCAAAAGGTCAACAGTGCTGAGGTTGCCCCAACCACGTGCTCTATGATGGAACAGACCTTGGTGACCTTGTTAGTCACTTTACAGCGGAATGCCAGGCACACAGGAGTCACTCAATCTTTGTTAGATAGGCAGCAAGAAAGGTGGGACACTGAGCCCAGGACACAGGATTCTGGCTTTCGCAGAAGTCATGCCAGGCCCCCTCAATGGTTCCTCCCACCTTCTGCAAACCTAAGGCACCCAGGAGGAGGGGCCAGAGAGAGAGGCAGCCCAGATGCTAGCTATCCTTGCTGCTCTGACATTGATCTGATGGCCACTGAGCACTTAGATCCAAGGGAAGGTACAGCTGAGAGAGTATAGCTGGGAGACAGAACACACACGGACGACCACGCATGTGCCACAGAGCCTTCTAGACACTGCATCACCAGCCCTTTTACTGACCAAGAATATTAATGACCCAAAGCTCTGCCACTACCAGGCTGAAGGGCCATCTATCTCTCCACTCACAGGCACTATAGTGCTATCCCTGGGTCTTAGCCCAGGTCTTGACTACCTCTCCCTCTTCCCTGCCCTCTCTTTACAGACATCCAAAGACTAAAAATTCCGGGAGGCTATAGCAGAAGGAAAATGGGTGGACTCAGGCCTACTGGCACTGAAGAATCTGAGCCGATACCCAGCCATCTGTTCCTCTCCACCGCCCCCTACCACAGCACATGACTGGTCGGTCATCCATGCTCCTTGAACCTTCGCTCCCAGGAACACTAGCACAACTTGGGCGTGGGGGGCGTGAAGAGCACACCATTTCTCATTTGTCCCACCCAGACCTTCTGTTACCTCACTCCTAAGAGAACAGGACTCACTCCCCACCCCCCACTCTTCCCATAGACCCATACACCTTGGTTCAGAGATCAGAGGACGTTTCAAGGAGAATCCCTACAAGACAGGATCTGATCAGACTCCATGTACGCCACTAAGATCAGGGAAGAGAGCCTTACCTTTGACTTTTCTTCATCAGCATCAAAGATGGAGCTCTTGGGCCAGGGAGAAGGTGGGGGCAATATTTTATCCATTGGTAGTTTAGGGTCTTGTTTTATGATTCCTAAAACATGCAATTCACAAAATTAAGAACTGATGTGGGTATTGCATAAAGTATAAAGTTCAGAAATCCCTAGTTCCCAATACCCTGCTACGAAAACACTATCAAAAGCCTTACAAGGATACACCCAGGGTGTGATAGAGACTTTGCACCGTCTCTCAGGAGAACCCAAGGAACCACCACATGGTCAGGGAGCATCAGAGTCAACCACATGCAGAACCTGCCCCGAAGGCTTAATCTGTGGCCCTCATGCTATAAAAACACTGATCATTTAATGCAGCTATGTAACTTCCCAGGGCCAAGAAATTATTTCAGGATCCCTACTGAAGCTCTCAAAACGATTGAGTCCATGTGACAAGGAAAAAATAAGCCATCCTAAACCCAGGATCTTTCTTCTCAAGAGCCCAGTATAAAAGGAATTCAGAGGCCAGCCTGTGGCATGGTGGTGGAGGCAGTTGGATCCCACATGGCCTAATGAGTAGTTCAAGCCTCAGACCCGGTGGCTTAACAGGCTGGGGATGTGTGTGTGTGTGCACAAGATCCAGACAGGAGTGAGAAGTGGAGGAGAATGGATTTTGGCGTGACCATTCCCCACTGTTTTCTCTTTCTCTCTCTCTCAGAGAGCACAGGTAACCTCTGGCAATGTTTTTTAAATAAATAAAATTTTTTATTAAGTCAAAATAGGTAAACTCTCAAAATATTGCTAATTACGAATAGGTCTATTTGCAATATTCTGCTTAAATGAGTTTTTATTATATGGCCATCAAAGAACTAGGGCAGATTTGAAAAAGCCTCATCCATATGAAGACACATCGTATTCTAAAGTTATTCACTTATTTATTTTAAAGTTTAGTAACACTTTTTCCTTGAAAAAAATTTTTTTAATTTATTCATTTATTTATTTATTTAATTTGACCAGAGAGAGAGAGGGAAAGTCAAAAAGCAAGTCACCAGGTCTGGGATGTGAACCATGCATGGTCAGCCAGGTGAGACCTGCTGGTCCCTTTTCCCTTGAAAATTTTAAACAATTTAAACACATTTTTTTTAAAGAATTATTTTATATATTATTTTTTAATTTGACTAGAGAGAAACAGTAAGAGAGCACGAGGGAAAGTGAGAAAGCGAGCCCCAGGTCTGGGACCCAAACCATGGTCAGCCATGTAGGAGTCCAGCACCCTCAACCACCTGCTGGCCCCTGAACATATTATTATAAATGGATTTTTAAAAGAAAAATTAAAGGCATCTCTTGTGTAAATGTACTTTTACTTTCCCTCCAAACCAAGGCTAAAAGGGATATATGGTGTATAATGATATCCCCTGGCAAACTTAAAAAAAAAAAAAAGAAAGAAATTCATACTTGTAGTTTCCAGACAGGACACACAAAGGTGGGAACAGCATCAGCCCCAGAGTGACAACAAAACATTAAGACAACCTTAAGTCCTCAACTTTCTTAAATCCATCAGAGAGCAAAAACCACAGGCCAATGTCCAATTAATAGCAAATCTTGGGGCTGGCAGGTGGCATGGTGGTTAAGGCACTGGACTCCGACATGGCCAAACATGGTTCAAGTCCTGGCTCTGTTTGCTTGCCTTCTCTGTCTCTCTCTGGTCAAACTGAATAATAATAAATAAGATTAAATAATAATTATTGTGGTTTTTAATTCTTTTTCTTACATAGCAAGTCTCTGGGAAAACCAGTGCCTTCCAGGAGAGAGGCAATATCCGTAAGAATAACTCAGCTAATATTGCTTCAAGGTCACTGCAGGCCACAGTGAGAATATATAGATCTCCTGGGGCCAGAACACAAAGGAAAGAAGCTCTTCAATAGGAGCCTCCCAGGGGCTTACAAAAGGACAATATGAAAGGCCTCAAGCACCCTAGGAGGGGTAAGGACAGATGGAGACAAAACCCATAGCATTTAGGGTACTGATGGAAATTCACACAGTCAGAGTTGAAAAAAGAAGGGGGGGGATACTTCTTTTTTTCTTAAACCTATATCCTTAGGGATGTAAATAAATTATGTCCTGGGGCTCAGAGCTAAACAGGAGCAGAGCAGGATACGGAATAGATCCTACCAAGGCCCAGGGACACAGTGTCTGCCTTATACTAAGGCTTTATCAGAACAAACACTGAGCAAGAGTGGGAAGAAAGTGCTGTAAGATGCTGAGCAAAGGGAGACGGTTGAGACTAAAGCAGATACTGAGGAACACTCTAGCAAGTCGGCTCTGACCTAAACACAAGCTAACACTAGGAGAATTTCAAGTCTGGTATAATAAAGTATTAAGTCGGAAAAGTCATGAGGTTTTTTTTTTTTAACTTAAAAAAAAAGTTTATTATGAAATGTACATGACCTGATTTTTACAACATGGTAAAAACAGGCCTGTTGACAAGGGGACATGAGTTTTTCTGTTGAACAGCCATTATTTATACTCGTTCCAAGGCTTCTAACATGATGCTACTATTTCCTCGTATTACCACCATTCCAATATTGTTCTGTCACTCACTAGTTGCCATCTCCACACATTCATCTATCACAAGATTCATTTTATTTTAATAACTTCTTGTCCATAAATTTTTCAATTTGGGAGGGTGAGCTTTGCTCATCATGAGGTATTTTTCTATGCAAAAATGCATTATGATTTTTCCCATAATTCAATAATTATAGTAACAACAAATCTCAAGCCTAGCTCAAGAAAAGAAAAAGTCCACCTGTTGCCAGGATAAAAATGATTTACTCCCATCTCTACTATCCTAGACAAGATGTCCAGCTAACAGCAGAAAATTTCAAGGCATGAGAAAATGCAAGAAATAACATACTGTCAAAAAGGGAATACAGGGGCCGGCAGGTGGCGTGGTGGTTAAAGGTGTGGGACTCCCTCCCACATGGCTGACCACAGTTCAAGTCCCAGACCTAGTGGCTTGCTTTCTCACTTTGCCTGTCTTTCACTGATCAAACTGGAAAATAATGATAAATACAGTTAAATAAAATAATTCATAAAAAAAAAAACGGAATAAAAGTAATGGAAGCCAAACCTTGCTTCTTCAGCATCTGATAAGCATCTCGGATTTTGATGTCTTCTGGGAACCAGACTGTCCAACTAAACAGTATTTCAATGACTCTTCCTTTAACTTTTTCTGTGGCCCAGGATCCTAGATACTGAAAGGAAAAGGAAAAGACAATTACGGAACTAGAAGAGACTTTGGATACCTTTAGGCAACATTTTCACTAAAGAAATGGCTACTGAAGGGAGAGAAGTGAGCTGCCCAAGGACGGTTGAGAATTGAATGGAAATGGAAACCAAATTATCTGGCACCCAGCCCAAGAGCCCTTCCTGAAATTCAGGAATTTATCTTCAAAACTGCTAAAAATTAAAAGGCCACCATGGGGCCTGGGTCAGAGCATTGTCTATACCATTGGGGCATTACTTTTTTTGACGGGGGCAAATACTGAATTAAAAAAAAAAAAAAGTTTGAGGGCAACCACAGTGACACAGCAGTAGCCCAATGCTCTGCAATGCTGAAGCCCATGGAAAGGTCCTGGGTTTGTGCCCTGAGGTCTCCCTATACATGCATGTGTGCCATGATCCTGGCCGGCTGGGCTGGAGGTAGACAGTGGTGTGAATGTCCTGTTGAGTGTGCCTGTCTCTCATTCTCTAATAGAAGAAATAAACAAAAAAATGTTTTGAGTCTTTATCTTAGTACCGGGCACAAAGCTTCAAAAACTTTGGAACTTCCTGAGTTATAGGAGGGTCTCATTATTTACAAGCCCCCTTAGACCATTTCAGTTTATACCAATGACTTGTGGTGAGTGCTCAGTTTCAAGGGAGAGACTGGCTGCTCCCAAAGGCCGAACATGTGATTATAGGGCTATAACTTACAGGCCTGACCCAGGAGTGGGGAGAGGTAAACTGGAGACTGAGTTCAATCACATGGCTGGTGATAAAATCAATCATGCTTCGTTACGTAATGAAACCTCAGATAAAAAGTTCTGAAACGAGGAGGTTCAGAGAGCTTCCTGGCTGAAACATCAATGAGGAGAGGGGTGCAAGCTGATTCACAACAGGACAGAGGCTGCGTCCTTTCCTCACGATGAAGACTTGCCCTACGTATCCCTTCTGTTTTCTTCAGAGCAAAATGGCCAACATACAGTGCTTTCCCGTGTCCTGTGAGTTGTTCTAGTGAATTACAGAACCTGGAGAGGAGGGGGCCAAAGGAACCCCCAAACCATAGCAAAACCACATTTGCTATGATTTCAACATATGCCCCCAAAACGCATGTGTTGACATTTGTACTGTGATGATATTAAGAGGACACTTAATCCAACTACAGAATTAAGAAGCAGAGCTTCTGCTAGCAGGAAGACCCTCACCAGAGGCTGCCCCTTGACCTTGGAGCTCTAGAACTGAGCTAAAAAAGCCTCTATTCCTAGAACCAGCAGATGGAGTAATGGTTACAGCCTAGGTAGGACCAAGTCCTTGGTGTGTAGGGTTAAGTAACATGCGACTCTGGGTAGCGTCAGGACTAAAACAAGCCATGGAACACACAGTAGGTGTTGGCTGTTGCTGGAATGCAGCAAGGAAGGGGTTAGTCAATACTGATTACCTGAGAGTGGTGTAGTAAGACAGGTGTCGGTAGAGGGCCACAGGACAAGGCAAGAGACACAGCTTCAAGTCATGCCTGGTCTTGCTCCTCTGCCAGGACACCTGTGCCTGAGAACAACAGTTCCTCACCTCCTCTGGGCCTCAATCCTCAAAAGGCCATTTGCAAAGAGAAATCTGAAAATGCTAATAACTGAGGTGGAGTCAGCTGATGAGCAAGACCCACCTCCCAGAGCTTGGAGAGGAGTGCTTTCACCACAGAACCTTCTCTCAGGAGCCAGAGAGAGGCAGGCAGCTTCTGTCCACCTGCAGACCTACATCCAGCCTGAGGAGAGTGTGGAAGCAGTGCAGTGGCAGGGCCATGCCTGGGCACTCACCTTGGGGGACAACACTTTGATTAGCTCGTTCAGGAAGCGGAACTTGGCCACTTCGCTGTGGAACTTCTCTCCACAATGGTTCATGCACGTCTCCAGCACCTGCACAGACACAGGACCCCCATGAGAAGGTAGAAAACCCACGACTGCAGGGCTCACTGCAAAGGTAACGACTACTCGCTGGTAACTATGACTAACCTTTGCTCAAGCCTTTAAAGACACTTAAGTTTTGAAAATAGGGTACTTACAGGTCAAGAAAAAAATGTCACCTGTCTGGTCTTGCTATAACTTCCAGGGTTATTCCCAAGAAATAACTCAGTGAGGTCACCTTTCCTTCTAAAGAGACCCTCTAGACAGGTGAAACTGGACCAAGAATCACCGTCTCCCCAAAGGCAGAAATCTGGTATCCAGTGCCCAGGAACTGCTCAACGGAGGTCACCCACTGGCACCCAAGAGGCAAGTGGGGCCTGCACAAGTTTCCTGTGATCCATACTGTGGTTCTCAACATTTCAAATTAGTCACTGACACTTAAATAGCCACAGAATGCATGTGAAAATCTGGTTTTCCAGTTTCTTAAAAGAGCAACTGGGCCCAAACACCCAGCTGGTGACAGTGGCTGGCCCTGTGCTCCAGCTGTCCTCTTTAGAGAGCGCATGTGCTCTCCAGGTGTTTGGCCTTTACCCAGCAGCTTCATTCATTTATGTTACCCAGGGACCCCTGAACTTGCTGGCCCTGAACTAAGGGCAAATGCAAGTAAAACCTTTTCCTTTTCTCAAAGGGGGCTCAACGTTGTTGTCTAGAAACAGATCTAAGATGGAACGAGTGGTGCAGAATTCTCTCCAGCCTGTTGTTGAAGGCCTGTGAAGGCCTCTCAGATACCCCCACCCTACTGAGAAGAGCGGAGGCAGAAACAAAGTCCCTCTCAGTTCTCTCTCTACTGTTAGATCAGGAAAGCTTAGGCTAAAGGGCAAGCCAAACTCACCGTTAAGGCATAAAGAGCTTCCTTCTCTTGTGGAGACTGGATCTTATGGGCCAGTAGCCAGGGCGCATGTGTGGGGCTAAGGAAAAACAAAAAGACCTGGATTCTGGGCAGGGAGGAAAACACTAGCCGGTCTGGCTGAGTATGCTCAGTGAAGTCTCTTCCAGGAGCTTAAGTCCCAAAGCAGAGGTGGAATATGACTGGTAACAGCCCGGGCACAGGCTGCCAATGAGGATAGCTCCCACCCACCGCTGTACCTGCAGCATGTGAGGTCCCCCTTCTGCCCAGGACGCATCATCTTTCACTCAATGAACCCATCCCTAGAATGCTAAGCCTGGTTACAAGTGTAACCTGGTCATGAGTAACACAGACCCTGCCAGTGTGTGAAAAATGCTGTTATCACTAGTGTAGAACGTGTGACCGAACTCTGGGCTCAGTTCATAGATAGCTGATCGCTCAGCACCATGTAGATTAAATATCTGGACAACTGACTTGATTCTTCAGCTCCTATTCAGACACTCTGGAAATAGAATTCATAAAAGCTTATCCTTTTCCTTATATACGATCACGTTTAAATTGTGGAGAATGCACTGACCTCCTTCACATTATGTGACCTAGCTACATTCTATCAGTAACATTCATACTTCTCAGCATTAGATTTTAGAACACTATTATTTTAAAATTTGCTATAAGAAACAGAGAGAGTGGGAAAGTACCTCATAGGGGAGATGACCATGCCACAATCTCTTCTCTATTCTCCTCTTAAGAATTTTTAGGTACAGTATGTACACACACACACACACACACCCCTAGCCTGCTTTTCAAGTCACTGGGTCCAGGACTTGAACTGTGTAGTCAGCCATGTGGGATTCAGCCGCCTTAACCACCATACCACCGACTGGCCCTATAACAATATTTAAAATGTGGATAATTATCAGTTGTAAATGGACATTTTTTAAAACCATATGAATGTACTAATTTTAAGGAAATAACATTCTCATACTGTTCTCAATAGAATATGGGAATGAAAGAGAATGAAAGAGCCTAACTGTGTAAGACAGTCCCCAGAGACAGAGGCCTGCACTGCCCCCAGAGTCAAGCATGTGTGTGAAGTCAGCTTACCCATTGGAGTCAGTGTTCACTTGCTCACAGAAATTCTGGATGGCTGACCAATCCTGTTCTGACATGCTTGGATCTGTGGCTTTGTCTGTTAAGGAAATAGATAATAAAGTTTTAAAAAGCAGAATGAAAAGAAATTTGCAAGAATAGAGCAGCCAAGGGCTCTGACGTCACACCTTTAGGGGATCAGACCACTGGGCAGGCAGCCAGAAGAGACTGTGGTTGGACTGTCCCCACCAGTACCCATGTTGAAAATATCCTTGTCAACGTAATTGACTTCTACCATGAGATGCCCCTCACCAGGTGCTGGTGCCAGGCTTTTGGATTTCCCAGCCTCCAGAACCATAGCTAAACAAACACTGTTCTTTATAACCATCCAGTCTGTGGTGTTGTTCCAACGACAAGAAAAGAACAAAGGCTGGGCCCAGGCTGCTCAGCACTGTCGAGCCCAGTGTCTACCAAGTGCTCAACGGTGGTGAGGTCTGCCTTTCCTCGATATTTGAAGGCTGAATGAGCAAACCAACTAGCAAATTACTGCCCTGAAATGTGGCTCCATTGCCAGTGCAGAGGGTGGCCTGCATCTTCTTCATCCCCCATGTCAGATTCGCCCCCACACCAACTGCGCAACGAGGACAAGCAGGATCTAGCGTCTAAGAGGCTACCTGTAAATTTCCCAGTTTGTGACAGAAGACAAGGGCAGGCCATGGCCTTTCCTGAAAGTCACCCCAAATCCACACTGTCCAGCCTGTCCTGGCTTACCCAGCCTCTCCAATGAGACATGGTACCAGTCCTGCCAGAGCAGCTCTTCGGGCTCTGGAAATTAAAGCTTAATCCTTAGGGTTGTCTCTCTTTGATGCTCTCACTCCTCTTGCTTGAATGTCCACTGCAATCCTCTCAAAATCCTATCCCCTTTTCGAGACCTATCTGAATTTCCATCTCCTCCAGAAAACCTCCCCCCCATGGTGCCACCTCACACCAGTTCTCATAGAGAGGGGGAAAGTACCTCATAGGGGAGATGACCATGCCACAATCTCTTCTCTATTCTCCTCTTAAGAATTTTTAGGTACAGTATGTACACACACACACACACACACCCCTAGCCTGCTTTTCAAGTCACTGGGTCCAGGACTTGAACTGTGTAGTCAGCCATGTGGGATTCAGCCGCCTTAACCACCATACCACCGACTGGCCCTATAACAATATTTAAAATGTGGATAATTATCAGTTGTAAATGGACATTTTTTAAAACCATATGAATGTACTAATTTTAAGGAAATAACATTCTCATACTGTTCTCAATAGAATATGGGAATGAAAGAGAATGAAAGAGCCTAACTGTGTAAGACAGTCCCCAGAGACAGAGGCCTGCACTGCCCCCAGAGTCAAGCATGTGTGTGAAGTCAGCTTACCCATTGGAGTCAGTGTTCACTTGCTCACAGAAATTCTGGATGGCTGACCAATCCTGTTCTGACATGCTTGGATCTGTGGCTTTGTCTGTTAAGGAAATAGATAATAAAGTTTTAAAAAGCAGAATGAAAAGAAATTTGCAAGAATAGAGCAGCCAAGGGCTCTGACGTCACACCTTTAGGGGATCAGACCACTGGGCAGGCAGCCAGAAGAGACTGTGGTTGGACTGTCCCCACCAGTACCCATGTTGAAAATATCCTTGTCAACGTAATTGACTTCTACCATGAGATGCCCCTCACCAGGTGCTGGTGCCAGGCTTTTGGATTTCCCAGCCTCCAGAACCATAGCTAAACAAACACTGTTCTTTATAACCATCCAGTCTGTGGTGTTGTTCCAACGACAAGAAAAGAACAAAGGCTGGGCCCAGGCTGCTCAGCACTGTCGAGCCCAGTGTCTACCAAGTGCTCAACGGTGGTGAGGTCTGCCTTTCCTCGATATTTGAAGGCTGAATGAGCAAACCAACTAGCAAATTACTGCCCTGAAATGTGGCTCCATTGCCAGTGCAGAGGGTGGCCTGCATCTTCTTCATCCCCCATGTCAGATTCGCCCCCACACCAACTGCGCAACGAGGACAAGCAGGATCTAGCGTCTAAGAGGCTACCTGTAAATTTCCCAGTTTGTGACAGAAGACAAGGGCAGGCCATGGCCTTTCCTGAAAGTCACCCCAAATCCACACTGTCCAGCCTGTCCTGGCTTACCCAGCCTCTCCAATGAGACATGGTACCAGTCCTGCCAGAGCAGCTCTTCGGGCTCTGGAAATTAAAGCTTAATCCTTAGGGTTGTCTCTCTTTGATGCTCTCACTCCTCTTGCTTGAATGTCCACTGCAATCCTCTCAAAATCCTATCCCCTTTTCGAGACCTATCTGAATTTCCATCTCCTCCAGAAAACCTCCCCCCCATGGTGCCACCTCACACCAGTTCTCATCTCTTTGTATTACTAACACTCCACAGTCAACCTAGACTTGAACTTCTGACTGCGGTCACATTTATGTCACATGGAAGTCATGTGTCTCAACAGTGAGATTCAAAGGACATTTTCCACCCACTGACTCCGCTCTAAGTGAAAAGAGCATGACAAAGGAGAAGGAAGGAACCAGACAATTAATTCCCATTATTCCCCTCACTTCCCCACCCCCAAAGCTCTCTCCCTATGTCCCATCTCTTAACCCTTCCAGGTCCCAATTCAAACACTGCCCTTTCATAAAACCTGCCAGGATCTCTTGATCTCCTACCTCCACAAAGCCAAAGTCATCCTCTTCAAAACCAATACCATACAGTGGAGAGCTCTAGCTTCACCCCTTACATGTCCTTGAATACTAAGCCTCAGTTTCCTGTATAAAATAAACAGTACCTTCCTCACGGGACTGTCATGTGATTTAAGTGGGACAGTATGTAAGATGCTCAGTACAGAAGCATATGAGAAACAATAAAGGTCAGCTAATGTAATTATAAAATGTAGTCTCTCTGCCTTTTACTGAGAAAGTACTACACACGCCTGAATGCACCTAAAGGGAATAAAATTCTTGAAGGCAGAAGCCATATATTTCCCGGAGTGCTTAGTAATATATATAGGATAGACACTCATCAAATATATTACGTAAGCAACTGATTCTCAAGAGAGTCTGAATCTGAATCGCCTAAAGTAATCCTACACCATTTAAACTTCAGTTTAGGAGGTCAGCCAGTAGTATAACGATTAGGGTGGCTGGATCCAACGTGACTGACTGGTTCGAGTCCCACCCTTGGTGGCTTGAAAAACATGCCTAGCATATGTACATACATGTCCAAAATCTCGAGAGGAAAATAGAGAAGAACTGTGGAGTGGCCGACCCCAGAAGTGGATACTTTTTCACTCCCCTCCCTTCTCGGTCACTCTCCAGTGAACATGTATGTCCCACAGCAAATTAAAAAGAAAAAAAAAAAATCCTTCAGTTTCCTTTCACAAGGTCAAGGTTGACACCATAAAGGAACTTAATATGTGACTGGACTTAAAGGCAGGCAGGCATTAGGCAGGGCCCAAGCTCCCAATGCAGAATCCATCCAGCCTTTCCTCTCTCCCCTTGCTGCCAAGTGAAAAATGTAACACCAACAGCACCAGCTTTTTCAACGAAGGGAAGAACTCTCCATGAAGTTAAGTCACTTTCCAAACTCTTAACCAAGACACAGTGGCAAAAAGATCTATAAAATATGAAAACATGTAAAAAATGAGACAGTTTCTTCATTTGCTAAATCTTGTATCATGAGAATTTGCTCGAGGTTTATCTGGACCCAAATTAACAGGAATGTAATAGCTGCCATTTTTAGAAGTGTGTACCGTGGGCCAGACACCAAACCAACTGAGGTTAGTACCATGTTATCAATCTATAGACAACAAAACCTGCCCAACCACAAAGCAAAAGAATGACCAAAACAAAAATTCAATCCCAGCTCTGCCTGGCTTAGAGGCCCATGTTTCTGACTGCTCTCACTCATAGTAAGGTCTTCAGTTCGTTGAAGAAAGGCCTCTCTTGGGAACTAATTTGACTTTCTTGCCCATAAGTTATAAATCCCCTAAAAACAAGAAGGAAGTCTCATTCACCTTCACATGCTCCAGCACCTAGAATAGTCGCTGGCACAGATACATCTACTGAACGAATGAATGAATGACAGACTCATAATTTGCTTCTCAGGCTAGTCAGTTGGCTGGACACACTACCAATGCCAGGAGACAGCTATTTCAGTTCTGAAGTAAGTGGGCCTCCGAACACGTAATCCCAGCCTGCTCAAGCTATTTCAGAGGTCTTGAGAAGCTCCAGAGAAAATGACTCTCCTCCTACTCCCAGACGACCAGCAGCTGGGTCTGACCAGGGCACAACAACTGTCCAGGTCTATCTGACAACAATGTGCCCCGGGAGTAGCCAGGTGCCAGACAGGGTACAGTTGGGGTAAGCTCAAAGGACTTCTCCATTTTGTAACCACAATAACCTTGTTGCACTGAAAATGCTATCCCGGACTACAAGGTAGCATGTGGCGGGACAAAGGTATGCCAAGGTATAACGTTATTGCCATACACTTGCTTAATAAAAGCAGTGTATGATTCATTCCAAGCTTGCTACAGGGTCAGAAATATTAACAGCTGAGACCTCCGGCTGTGAGTTAAAACAACTCATCCAAGAGTGACTAATTCAGAAGCCAAATCATCTCACACCAGCTGACAACCCGTCGCCAGGATCATGACTCTGGCACTCACAACAGACCATGCAGGAAGGGGAGCCCGAGGCTGTGAGGAAGCAGCACCCTGAGAATTAAAGCCTCAGCAGTAGGCACTGCACAGGAATCCTTCCATAGGGTACACACAGACCCCTCCAGCCCAGCAATTCCACTCCGCACACATGAAAACCTGCCAGGACCCACCACGGGAACATCCTATTCCTAGCTCCAAAAGAGTGAGTTATTGGCCACCCCTCAGACTCTCAGAATATAGGTAAATTGCAACTTGGACCTCTCCATAGCCCCAAGGGAGTCATAAAAGGGGGGCGAGAAGGCAGGCAGGCTAAATCAACTGGGAGTAGGTCCAGAAGGAAGAAAGGGATTTACAGAGCACTCAGCTATTCTAAGCTACTGCATCCCTGGCAGCACTAGCAGAGCCAGAACCTCAGAGCTGTTGGACCGAGTGCTGCTTGTTTTTGTTTGTTTGTTTGTTTTTGAGAGGTTTTTGCTATAGGGTGTGTGCACGTGCCAAAAAGACAGACAGAGAGACAGAAAGCGAGGAATCACCCCCCCCCAGGGGGATGGCCATGCCGCAATCCCTTCTCCATTTTCCTCTTGGAATCTTGGGCATGCACGCACACGTGCTTGGCTGAGTTTAAGCCACCGGGTCCAGGGCTCAAACCGCGGTTGACTACATGGGAGTCCAGCGACATAGCCATTTCGCCAACTACTCGTCCCCCAAGTGCGCTTTTAATAGCACTGGCACCACCTAAGGAGGTCCATCAACAGGGAACTGGTGATATGAACTACAGCTCACCTATGTGAGGCAAGAATGAGGCAACTAAATACAATCATGTGGAACAGTGACCAAAATACATTAGGTGGGGGAAAAGCTGTGGAACAGAATGCCTGAGTGTGTTATAACAGTTTCCTGATTCCCTCCTTGAGTCTAGGTCCAATGTTCAGCTGAGTCCACACTTTTGATTCTAGGGAAGGCACCCCACTCCATACCAGGTCAGGCAATCTTCTTATTCAACCCACTGCCCCCACTCCATTACCCCGATTCCAAGAGGGATGCACAACCCGCACTGGACCCACAGGTAGAAAATCGTAACTTTTGCCAATAAATAGGAAAAAAAGTATTTCTGCTGCGCTTACAGCAAAAAGCACAGCACAGCAGAGAAAATTCAAGAGAAAAAGTGAATCCCTCAGAGAGTTTCTAAAGGGAGCCTAAACCTCCTCTGGACATCTCTCCTTTCTTTCTTCTCCTGTAAGCCCATGCGTTAAATTTCTGGTCAACCACAACCAAAAGAAATGAAGGACAATAATAGCTAAGATTTATTAGGGACTTACTACATGCCAGTAAAGCACTATTTTAAGTACTTTCCCTGTATTAATAACAACTTTGATCTTCCCAACAACCCTAGAGAATTACCATTCCTTTTTTAAAGACACAGCTGACTTGCTTGCCTCGGCAAGGTCTGCCTGTGACCTGAGCTCGGCCCATTCTCAGATGCCACGTAGAGTGGCCTTTCTCATTCTACCTAGATCCACAGTACATCTGCCTTCAACTACCCTGTCCACCCATTATACCACCGCCACTCCACCCCCAACAAACTTGGTTTAGACTACAACTCACCTTCTCTGCTCCTACCCCCCAGTCTCTGCACAGCTAAGACTGCAATTCTCATTTCTGATGTCTTATCAACACTGAGCCCTCAGAGGATCTGTGTGGAAAGCGGAAGAGGCGATTCTGCCCTTCTCCTCCTTCCCCCTCCAGCTATCAGTGGAAAATCTGGCAATGTGTGGAGACATTTTTGGTTGTCAGGACTGGAAAG